CTTTTGTTTGGGTCAGGAGGGAAATCACTGGACTTGTTTACTAAACAAAACCTACTGAGAATAAATTATTCAAAAATATATTCTATAAATATTATATACTCACAATAATTTTCCCACCCTTCTTCAGACTTTTGACAGGAATTTTCGGATCAGCCTGCCCACTGCAAATCATCAATGACAGGGCTACCAGTACAACAATGAAATACTTAAGGAAGTACATAGTGGATTTTATTTTGAATAACAGCAAAATGTTCGGTGTACCAGCGTTGAATGACATGAAAAATGACCGAACATCTTTATTTATACTAATTCATAAGAGTATTTTCCTGATCTGACTAGACGTGATTAACCCATCAGAGAAACCACGGTTTTATCTTGCGGTTTATATTTATTATTATAGAATTGAAGTGTTGATTATTATTTTTATTTGGAGTATCTACAAAATAAAAAGGAAAAATTCAACTCAGTAATTTTAGTGTAATAATGGTTTGGTTGTTCATTGAAATAATCTATTGCTTATGGTGTGAGACCCCTTTACTACTTCACAATAATGTGTTTAATAAATTGTAATAAATTTTAATTAAAAATAGTGTAAGAAAAATGAATTTTATTGTAAAAAAAGGCATGGGGTGCATGTTATCAGTAGTTATAACTATTTTAAGTCATCTTTTGAGAGAATTACATAAAAAATTGTCGTTTGTTTCACATTGATTAATAAATATTTTATGAACAGATATGAGTAGAAGGGTTAACTATATATTAATACGTGAAGCAAAAATGTTGTACTCCTTTTTACGAAAATTACGCGGACGGAGCAGTATGAAATTTTCCACACTTGTAGAGAATATAGAGAAGAAGTGCACAATGTTAATATTTTTTTAAAATAATGCATAAAAGATACATTAAATCATTAAAAAAAACATTACACACACTACATACCATGTATTTGACGCACGCACGCATGCATAGATTATACACTTAATATATTTGAGACACGCATGTATACTATTTATTGTCAAACTTTTGTTTTTGACGTCTGTGATCAAATTGAGAATAGATTAAATATTGTTTGTCTTTATTAAATTTTTTTTATAGAGTAGCCTTGGCGAAATTTGTGATTATAGAAGTATAAATACAATCATAATGTGTACAAATTTACAATTCCAATTAATTATAGTAGAATTTCGACTACTGCTAGTTTTGATAATATCCTGAAAAGCACCCCATGCTTTTTTATAATAAAATAATTTTTTCTTACGCTATTATTTATTCAAATTTATTAAAATTTATTTTCTATTTTTTAGTTGAATTTTCTATAAAAGCGTATTTTGTTAGTTTTGTTAAACTATTATTTATTTTTCATTTTTTAGTTGAATTTCATTTTTTTTTATTTTTTTTTTATATTTAATTGTCATTGGTCCTTAATAAGTATACCAAATTTCGAGTTAATTCGACGTTTTGAAGGGGGTCAAATCATGTTCAAAGATTCCGTTACTAACATACATACATACGTCTGAAGCTAATAAAAGCGTATTAAAAAAAAAGGTGACTGTCCATAGTAGAATATCATTCGTATTCTTTTTACTAATTTGAAATAATTGTGAGTTATATTGATAACACTATTAAATCATTCGCTTCTATTAATAGTAAACAATAAAATTAACTAGTGGTCCCCTGTTAGTCGAAATTCTTCTAATTGAAATTATAAGTTTGAACATTATTATGGTTCTATTGTCAAAGACTATTATTTTACTTCCTATAATCATAGATTTCGCTAAGACATTACATTATAGACAAATAATATTAAAGACAAACAATATCAATCTATTCTCAGTTTGACCCATGTTTGACCAGACCTTTTAAAATAAAAAAGTGACAATAAAAAGAGCCCCTATATAGGTACGTGTGTGTGTGTTAAATACATGGTAGTATGTGTCATGTTTTTTTTATTGATTTAATGTATTTTCTAGGCATAATTAAAAAAATATTAGCATTCTGTACTCCCTCTCTTTTCCGCCCTACTTCAGACCCTGGATAGGAATTTTAGGATCAGCTTGTTCTCCACAAATCATCATTGACAGAGCCATGAATAAAATAACAAAATAATTCAAAGAAGTTCATTGTATTTGAAGTTTTTGGATTTTTTAAGAGTGTCAACTAAGGTGCACACAATACAATATCTTTTATATATCTTTTTTATAAATCTTTTATATATTTTTTTCTTATTCCTTAGATGAACGAGAGAACTTAAGTGAACGAGCTTACGGCTCACCTGGTGTTAAGTGGTCACCGGGAACCATAGACATCAACAACGTAAACGCCGCCACCCACATTGAAACATGAGTTATGTCTCAGCTTTTACAGCACAACGACTGCCCCACACTTCAAACCGAAACACCTTACCTACCCGTGCGGGCTCACTTTTTTTTTTTTCCTATTTAAGCTGGTATCCTGCAGCGGCTATTCCAGCGTAACCGTAACTAGTAGGTGAGCTCACGGGGCTCAAACCTGACGACGATGCTAACACGAACCCTAGCAAGAGCCGTGCTTCGCAGAATCTACCACCGGATTGGAAACGCGACCCACTGAGAAGATCCGGCGAGAAACTCAGTGGGCTGTGTCTGAGAGTTAATTTAAGAACGGTGGCCGGTGCTTGAAGTACCTAAAAGCACCGTTAGTGGATCGGGAGGATCCGAGATGAAGTGTTTTGGGCGACGTCGACTGCTTTCCATTCTGTCCGCAGGATCGTCCTACCACGAATAATAATTACGCAAGTTATAATTTGTGCGGGTTTGATTTTTATTATAAAAATTGGTACCTGCCTGCAGCATTTGAACACCGGTATAGTCATATCGCTTGATACGAATGCACTGAATACAATGTCTTATCCTTTAGGCCACGACGACTTGAAAACGAAAGTTTTATGTAAATTTATGCTGTCTTAAGGAGGGTTTTCCTGACTTAAACTTTAGCAACTGACTCATCAAAAAACCAAATATTATCCTGTGGCTTTCCTACGGTATTGGACAAAATTCTCACTGTTGTTGTCATTCATAATTCATTACCAACATTTCCGTGTTTGTGAATAATAACTATTTTTGTATTACGTGGTAGTAGGTAGGTTCTCCTGGTTTTAAAATATTTTATAAACGATTTTACCATCAGATGCAATTTATCTTCTCTCGTGCTATGTTTCAATGACGTATGTTATAGATGTGAATTATATTTGCATAGCTTTGTGAAATATTTTATTTAATTGTCCATAGTTTAAGCTTAGACGTGCATCTTTATGGTTGTTACTGACGCCAGGTGATTTCAAGATGCGAGTTGGAATTTTCGCAGAAATAACCGGGATCGTTGTACGAAAGTGAGAGCCTAAAGAATGCTGATTCTTCAGGACTTATTCATGATGATGATTCATTCAGACTATCGTAAGGGATCCGTTTTTAAACAAAAATTGCGATACGATTAAAAATCACTTATTATTATGACGGTTGAATAATGCAGTAGAAGACGCGTGCGTATTGATTGGCTAGATCCGATTCATGTGTTTTATCCTATCTAATCGCTGGTAGCCTCAAGGGGTTATTCCAGCTAATGGGGCTCAGCCTGAGAAGACTTGCTCACATTAGCTATAATAATATGAATCTATAATACCACCGGATCGGAATCCCGACCAAATCATATGAACCGGCGAGAAACTTAGTATATTGTGTCTAAAAGTTAGGTCGCACATCTAACTCTTGTCGATTGAGAACGATACTGGGTGCTTGGAGTACCTAAAACCACTGAGAGTGGATTGGAAGGATCCAACAGTTTAGTTTAAAATATATCTAATATAAAATATATATTTTATTTTATTTTAACATTTCAAAGTTTTGAGATTCAGTAATTTTATAGAAAATTACGATGCCTATGATAGTCAGGAAAATTTAGGTGTGAATTACTAAAAGTATAACGTATAGAGTCAACGATGAATGAAAATAAATTATTACATTCTTATATCCATTGTTTTTTATTGAATATATACCATTAGTACACTAGTTTGCGTGTTGTTACATATTTTCTTATTGACTGTTAAGGTTGATAGATATATAGTAGAGTTAAAGGATTATCCAACGATCAAAGGCTAGCGTCGTCAAGAATTTCAGGAAAACAACTAGGCAGCTACCTATTGCTCATTTGAAGCATGACAAGTCAGAGCTCTTAAACAAACACTTTGGAAAAAAATTAATTTCGAAGCCGGGTGGTATGTGGAAAAAATATAATATTTTAAAACCACAGTTGGTTCAACGCTGTGGTTCTAGGTAATATTGGATAAAGCTCATTGTACATTCCTCATAAAACATACAGTATTAAACATAAAGAACCGAAGTTCCTCCGTAGTCCTAGAAATTCCTAGCGAACCATGAAATTAAAATTAGCATAAATCCAAATAACCGAATATTTTATGTGTATGAGGAATACTTGATTTTCGACGACTTAAATTGCTGTTTTTCTTTGTAAATATAAAATTCAATGCAGGAAAACGATACATCTGTTTAAAAATGTAATCAAGATAATTGTAGATTCTATAATTCAAAGAATTAGGTTTGGATGAGGCCAGCGATGGTAAAAACATAAATGGAAAGTTTGCTACTGGAGAAATGGTGTCGGTAAAGCTTTATAATTTCCATTGAAAAAATGCTTTTGATGAGAAACTTCCATTTTTTTATATTTGCTTTGTTCAGTTTATTGAATAAGTATGTTTTTTATTATATTGTTGAGTTGAATTGAACTCGTGGCTAGCCTGCTGATAATGGGTTACCGGACTCTATAAAGGGTCATAATGTGAAGCCGTTGCCCTTCTTGAAGTTGAATTGTAAATTTTGTTGTGTGTTACTTATGTAATTTCACATGAATAAAGTTGTAATGGCGGTCAAAATCCACATATATTATAGGGTAGGGCGGGAAAGAGGAGTAATAAACTGAACTGTAAAGAAAACCAATGGAAATTGTAATGATACCTTTATAATATTTATTTAAAAACAAAAAAAAACATTATTGATTTGTAAGTTTATGTTGTTTCTAAGGTAGTTTGTAATTAACCTTGATTCCCACGGTTACGCACGTGGCTATAGACTTCATGGGCTGTTCCCGCTGCGGTGAGAACTTTAAAGCCTTTGGCCTGAAAAAAAACATCGATAAATAAAAGAGGTTGGGACTAAAAAAAAGTCTTTAGTTAATTAATCTTTAGTGAGTTTTTAAAGTTTAATTTAATTCTAATTATTGTGCTTAGGAAACTTATCATAAATTCTATGTGTTTTGATTTCGTATTTACATATAAAACAAAGGTAAATTTTATTTAGGATGCTTTTGTTTGGGTCGGGAGGGAAATCACTGGACTTGACCAGCTTACTAAACAAAACTTCCTGAGAATACATTATTAAAAAAAAAAATTCTTTAAATATTATATACTCACAATAACTTTCCCACCCTTCTTCAGACTTTTGACAGGAATTTTCGGATCAGCCTGTCCACTGCAAATCATCAATGACAGGGCTACCAGTACAACAATGAAATACTTAAGGAAGTACATAATGGATTTTATTTTGAATAAGTGCAAAATGTTCAGTGTACCAGCGTTGAATGACATGAAAAATGACCGAACATCTTTATTTATACTAATTCATAAGAGTATTTTCCTCGTCTGACTAGACGTGATTGACCCATCAGAGAAACCACGGTTTTATCTTGCGGTTTATATTTATTATTATAGAATTTTCCAAGTGTTGATTATTATTTTTATTTGAAGTATCTACAAAATAAAAAGAAAAATTCGACCCAGTAATTTTAGTGTAATAATATTAGTTGTTAATTGAAATAATATATTGTCTTATGGAGTGAGACCCCTTTACTGCTTCACAATAAAATCGATTTATTAATTAGAGAGAGATGATAAATTATTATTTAAGTTTGTGTCTTTAAAAAAAAGGTGATTGACCATGGCAAATTATAGACAATATTAAAGACAAACAATATCAGTCTATACCTACTCAATTTGACCAGACTTTAAAAAATAAAAAAAGTTGATAATAAACGGAGAGCCTTTATGCGTGTGTGTGTATCAGATACATGGTAGTATGCGTCATGTTTCTTTTATTGATTTAATGTATTTTTTAGGCATAAATAAAAAAAACATCATCCTGCACTCTCTCTCTATATTCTCTATAAGTGCGGGAAATTTCACAATCCTCCATCCGCGAAATTTTCGTAAAAAAGGGTAAGAAGTTTTTGCTTCACGTATTAATATATACTTAGTCTGGCCATAAATACTCTTACAATTAAATATAAACAAAATATTACATTTGAATTTGGAATCTGTCATTTTTATATGATTGCTCATTGCCTTTTCTCATTTTGGCGCCAATACATTGTACAATATTTTGCGATATTAAAATGGAGTGGGGTGATAAAGAGAACCAAATCACTGTGATTGCATTACACAAAGTAGGTATGGAGCTAAATGCAATTTTTAAAACTCTCCATACGCTTGGTATTAGTAAAATGTTTGTGTACCGGGCTATTAATAAGTGCAATGAGACCTCCTCTGTTTGTGACAGAAAAAGATCTGGCCGTCCACGTAGGGTTCGTACGAAAAAGGTGGTCAAAGCAGTAAGGGAAAGAATTCGAAGAAATTCTGTCCGAAAGCAAAAGATTTTATCTCGGGAGATGAAGATAGCACCTAGAACCATGTCGCGTATTTTAAAAGATGACTTAGGACTTGCAGCCTATAAGAGACGTAGTGGTCATTTCCTAATTGATAATTGAAAAGAGAATATGGTGGTAAAATCGAAACAACTACTGAGGCGGTACGCAAAGGGAGGTCATAGAAAAATTTTGTTTACGGATGAGAATTTTTTTACAATTGTGCAACATTTTAACAAACAAAATGACCGTATTTATGCTCAAAGCTCTAAGGAAGTTTCCCAATTAGTCGACAGAGTGCAACGTGGGCACTATCCGACTTCAGTGATGGTTTGGTGGGGTATTAGCTATGAAGGAGTGACTGAGTCATACTTTTGCGAAAAAGGTATCAAAACATCGGCACAAGTGTATCAAGATACCATTTTTGGGAAGGTAGTGAAGCCCCTTAACAACACCATGTTCAATAATCAAGAATGGTCCTTCCAGCAAATCTCGGCGCCAGATCATAAAGCTCAGTCTACGCAGTCTTGGTTGGAAACGAACGTTTCGGACTTCATCAGAGCTGAAGACTGGCCGTCGTCTAGCCCCGATCTTAATCCGCTGGATTATGATTTATGATCAGTTTTAGAGAGTACGGCTTGCTCTAAACGCCATGATAATTTGGAGTCCCTAAAACAATCCGTACGATTGGCAGTGAACATTTTTCCCATGGAAAGAGTGCGTGCTTCTATTGATAACTGGCTTCAACGTTTAAAGGACTGTATTACAGCCACTGGAGACCATTTTGAATAAGCTTTTTATACTTTAAATTGTTTTATATTTATATATTAAACTAACACACTTTAAAAGTAATAAATGTTATTTGCAATAGAATTTTTTTTGTTTTCCTGTTCCTGTAACTGTATTTATGGCCAGACTAAGTAGTTAAGCGAAAAAAAAGAAATTTAATTTTACCCAAAACCTACATTTCATTCTAATTTTAATTGTTACATTTTCATAAATGGCTCACAGGAAAATATCACATGTATATAAATGGATCACAGGCTATCTGTTAGTTACCAGACCTCTTGAGATCAAAACGTTGATTTCACCGTTCACAATGGGACATGTCAATTGCATGATGACGTAACAATCGGCATGAAGTATCAATTTTGTTGTGTAACGTCTAATCCCGCCCTTATAAATGGCACTAGCTAAGGCAGAAATAGCTAAGATTATGGTACCGGCTCACAATATACTCTATCACTGGATATTAAGAAAATATGTAATTGTAACTAAAATGTAATTTTGTAGGTTTGATTGTTTTATACAGTGCTACTCATACTTATTGGTGAAAGTCGTTTATGAACACGTCTTAACTACGTATTTCCTTAGATAAAAGTGCAAAAAAAGTGCTGCTTGTTTTTCATATTTCAAAATAGCCTTAACTTCTTGAAACTTCCATTCGCATCTGTTGGTTTATGAACCAATTTAGAAAACCTAAACTGGGAGCTATTTATCACTAAATGTTTAATGAATAAACTATAATAAAACGCTTATGTCTACTCATTAGCAGACGGGAAAACCTGTACCGGTAAATCATGAGAAATGTTTTGAATTTGTCATTTTGTGATTTTCCTGTACCTTCAAGACATTATAAATACGAACGCGTGTCGCATTTGTTCAATTCCTCACAAAATTCGTGTGAGAGACATCAATATGAAGCTCCTTGCATTTATTTTAATGGTAGCGCTGTGTGCGCAGATTTGTCACGTTTCATGTGATATTAGCGTAGGGAGTAGTACTACGACAACCACACCTAAGCCTTGGACACGGAGATTCAAAGATGGATTGGTGCGTATGCTGTGATTTAAGCTTTAGCGGCTTGTCTGAGGCTCTAGTATTGCTGATCTCCATGGGCATCAGCAATACTAGGGCGTCGTCTAAATATTACGACTGTATATTTGTTATGATAAAAAGCAATAAAAAAGAACATAAGATTTGAAAATAGTTGTTTGCAGTACGCAGTTTTGAAATCAGTCATTAATTAGTGTTAAATTTATGGCCTATTTCTATCACCGGTCTATCGAATTTATTTTTGAGCGAAACAGCTTATTAACTATTGATTGCTTAATGTTTCGGAATTTTTTTCAGGGCAAATTTTTACAAGGTGCTGCTGTGGCTACTACGATCCAACAAGGGTTCCAGAATGCGCGAAAAAGTGGGAAACATAAGTCATTTGGAAATCTACCTATTAGTGCTCCTGTTGCTTCGAAACACTGAGATTCCTTTAATGAAACATATTTTTGCACAAGTTTTTTTCCTTCCTGTATGGGAAATTCATATGAGTAATTGTATTTTGTAAGAGCTATACATATATAATATAATATTGTTTGAAGAAAAAAAAAAGGAGTTTACATAATCAGTTAAAACGCACCATTTACCTTAACTAAGATAGTATGGTTAATCAAAGTTAATATAATATGTATCATCTAAAAATTTTGATTATGTTTAATTATGAATCGTTTGATTGTTCTTTTCAACGTAAAACTGAACAAAACGTTATGTTGATGTACATGTACATGCAGCAATAAATAAAAAATCGCCTAAAGTAATTTATTTTGTAACTCTAATTAGTTTTTACAATTCCTCGTAGCCGTAATTAAAATGAGTTTCGTCACCTTGTCAAGAATATTATGTATTTCGTAAATTCAACGGTATGGAACTATTAAAAAAAAACAAACTATTGTATACCAAAACTAGTTTTTTTTTTTAGTTTTTTTTTTATAGCTTAGATGGGTGGACGAGCTCACAGCCCATCCGGTGTTAAGTGGTTACTGGAGCCCATAGAGATCTACAACGTAAAAGCGCCACCCACCTTGAGATATAAGTTCTAAGATCTCAGTATAGTTACAACGGCTGCCCCACCCTTCAAACCGAAACGCATTACTGCTTCACGGCAGAAATAGGCAGGGTGGTGGTGCCTACCCGCGCGGACTCACAAGAGGTCCTACCACCAGTAAACATAATATAGCAACATAATAATATGTTTAGTGGATTCTATGAACGATGGTTGCCGCTCAAAACACGAGCCGTTATAAAATATTATATAGTTATATAGCGCCAAGCGGGTGTCGAACTACAAATGTTGGGTCGAACAACGTAAAAGTTCCTTATTAAATATTAACTTTGTGGTTACCGAAAGTTTTGACAGCGATCGTTCATCGAGCAATTTATATATTGCAAAATTCAATATAAATAACTATGTGAATGCAAATATAGAGACCCACACTGCTACACTATATTGGTTGGACACGGGTTGAAGTAGTGAAATAGGTACTACCTCACCATATTTACCAGTGAACGATATATGTATCTGTACGTGCAGATATCCAAGTAGGAAATAACATCGAAAGGTGAGAGGAGATTTTCATTAACAGTACGATAGTGGTCAGTTTATAGTTATAAATACAAAATAACCGAATACCGCTCTCATCGAAATCGTTGAATACGACGAAGAGTTCGACGAGCGAACTAACCCACTTTTTATTTATTTATTGCTTAGATGGGTGGACGAGCTCACAGCCCACCTGATGTTAAGTGGTTACTGGAGCCCATAGTAAAGTAGTAAATGCGCCCATAGTAAAAAGAGTAAATGCGCCACCCACCTTGAGATTATAAGTTTTAAGGTCTCAAGTATAGTTACAACGGCTGCCCCACCCTTCAAACCGAAACGCATTACTGCTTCACGGCAGAAATAGGCAGGGTGGTGGTGCCTACCCGCGCGGACTCACAAGAGGTCCTACCACCAGTAAACATAATATAGCAACATAATAATATGTTTAGTGGATTCTATGAACGATGGTTGCCGCTCAAAACACGAGCCGTTATAAAATATTATATAGTTATATAGCGCCAAGCGGGTGTCGAACTACAAATGTTGGGTCGAACAACGTAAAAGTTCCTTATTAAATATTAACTTTGTGGTTACCGAAAGTTTTGACAGCGATCGTTCATCGAGCAATTTATATATTGCAAAATTCAATATAAATAACTATGTGAATGCAAATATAGAGACCCACACTGCTACACTATATTGGTTGGACACGGGTTGAAGTAGTGAAATAGGTACTACCTCACCATATTTACCAGTGAACGATATATGTATCTGTACGTGCAGATATCCAAGTAGGAAATAACATCGAAAGGTGAGAGGAGATTTTCATTAACAGTACGATAGTGGTCAGTTTATAGTTATAAATACAAAATAACCGAATACCGCTCTCATCGAAATCGTTGAATACGACGAAGAGTTCGACGAGCGAACTAACCCACTTTTTATTTATTTATTGCTTAGATGGGTGGACGAGCTCACAGCCCACCTGATGTTAAGTGGTTACTGGAGCCCATAGACATCTACAACGTAAATGCGCCACCCACCTTGAGATTATAAGTTTTAAGGTCTCAAGTATAGTTACAACGGCTGCCCCACCCTTCAAACCGAAACGCTTCACGGCAAAAATAGGCAGGGCGGTGATACCTACCCGTGCGGACTCACAAGAGGTCCTACCACCAGTAAAAATAGACGTAACCCATAGACCCATAGACGTAACCCACTGAGTTTCTCGCCGGGTCTTCTCAGTGAGTGGCGAATCCGATCCAACGGTATGTAGATTCTGCGAAGCACTCCTGTTGCTCTCTGTCGAGGGTGACGCCTGGGTACTTGACCTTTGACCCACGGTATGGACTAGTAGAATATAGTGATGGACCAATTGGTGGAGGTGTTTTGTTTACGCGTCTATTAGGGAGTGGGCTATTCGAAGTGTTATTCGGAGGGGGACCCTTTTTGAAGAGCACCGCTGTTCGTGGCGTTGATGTCGATGCGCCACTTCCGAAACCACTGTCCTGTGGTCGTAACTGCGGTCTGGAGTCGCCGATGCAGTAACTTTTTCCGAGTAATAGATAGACGTGTCATCGGCGAAGAAAGCTAGATGGATCTCCGAACACCGGGGTATATTGTTGATATACAAATTAAACAGTAACGGGGAAAGTGCGGAGCCTTGCGGAACTCCAGCTGTTAAATGATGGGGTGAGAGCGAGTTCCCTCAACTTGATATCGGAACGAGCGGTTCGACAAGTAGACTCGTATGATGAACACGAGTCTGTCTGCTACTCCCATGCTACACAGTTTGTATATCAAACCGTTGTGCCAGACTTTGTCGAACGCCATCGCGATATCGAAGAGGGCTCCGGTCGGGATGATCCGTCCGCGCGTATCTGAAATATCTCCTTAGGCTACCAGTGAAAAGGTAAAAAAAGTACGTTTTCATGTTTTTATGTTTTTTTTCTTGTTTGAATTTCTTAACATTGTAACCGATAATATAGCAGATCTTTTTAGATCTAATTAATCTGATCAAAGCAATTTCTCTTGAAACTTATTTTATTATGTTGGAGACTAAATATAATAATATTATTATAAAAGTAAGTATTATATCAACGAAAAATCGTTTAAAAAATTAATTGAAAAATCTATTCAAAAACGTTGAAAAAAGCTCTTAGACCACCAAGGGTGGAACTTCTGTCGAGACCAAAGGCGAAGTCCCGATGGACGTACAGGGAACGAAAAACCGCATTAAAAAAAATGGATAATTCAAAATATTTCAATATCGATGTTGTAAATAAATGTTAAATGATGTCGCGCTAAAAAGATAACAATGCAAGCGCCAACCAATATTTGTTAAAAAATAAGACAAAAATAAACAGCTATAAACATTTTTTTCCTGTTTTTTAACCGATTTTTTTTGGGTCATTAGTTACGAAGTTCAATGCCATCAAAATTATATGGCACATTATTTCGTTTATTTAAATGGTAGTAATACAATGAAAGGTAAAACAAACAATACAATGAAATGTAAACATTTATATTAACATGAATCTACATCTTGAGGAGTTTTACTGATTATGGTTTAATTACAATCATAGAGCGAAATTGCATAAATTTTGCAGTAGCTCTGGTTATAACGTTTTGCACTCTCTGTAGCATGCATATATTATTTTAATATTTAATACTAGGTTCAGCAGTGCATATTACATAGGTACTGTAACTTGGAAAACTGCAAGAAGTTTTACTAAAGCGCCATCTGTGTTAAAGTCGTCGCACTTTTTTCAAAAACTTCCAGCACATTTTATTATGCTAGTACTACATCTTTATAATGATATTAATTGCTTTAATTTAAATAATTATCATTTTGCAGATATCTCAATAATTTTGTTTCTTTTATAAATATCTGTGATGAATAATCGAATCCACATTTTTGTCTAATTTGACAATAGTATTAAATTTTAATATATCTCGTCGATTACTACCGTGAAGATGCAATGCGTATCGATTCAGAATATCGGTTATATTTTAGTTAAAATTTAGATCTCGTATGCAAATATCGGTGGTCGCTCTCATGTCTGTGATTTTTATGATTTCACTTGTATCCACTTGTGGGTAACTGGTTGTTCATGAGCTCGCTAGTGGGTCATGAGCTTTTCGACTCAGGAAATTAAACAAATAAACAATAGCAATCTATGTACGCTACGCCAACAATAACAACAAGTCTGTTCCTGTAGTACTTTAGATAGGGAGGCATTACAAAATAGAGATATATTATTATCATATAGGCTATTTCGCCCTAAAAGCAAATATTCGATTGGCACACAAATTATTGTCTGTAGCATATGCTAAAATTCTGTTTAAATATAACCTGCTAATTGTGCTCGATATTACTGATAAACATATTGTAAATAATTCTCAGTCTGCAGCGAGTGGCAATCTTACGAAATCCACTTAATAGCGATAACTGATATCACATCGTTGCGTTGTTCTAATGTTTACCCGGTATAATTTATTTCTTGATTTTAATGAATATAACCGATCTATAAGTATCAATTAAGCAAATACAATTCTATTCATTATTTCTCGCAGTTCATAAACATCTAACCTGCACCTCATTTCACGTACAAACAATTATTCATTTAAGATTTTGCACTCGACCGATAACATTATTTTTTATGAGGATTAACCTCTTAAAAGATGAAGTACTTATCTGTTTTATCTTTTACGATGTTATGACGTTCACAAGAATACACACATATTTAAACAAACTTGTGATGATGACCCAACCGTTCATTGGGATTCAGTAAAGTCCCGGAGTTACATATAAAACGATTGGTAACGGCGGAATCAATTCATTGTGTTCTAAAAATTTGCAAAAACAGTAAACCGCGCAGTTATTTAAAACATGAATATTTTAAAACTTTTCTTTGTTTTTATTGTGGCAATGTCTCTGGTATCATGTAGTACAGCCGCTCCAGCAAAAATACCTATCAAGGCCATTAAGACTGTAGGAAAGGCAGTCGTAAGTAAAAATAAATTTATCTAAAAATATATTTAATTCATTTTCTCAATAATATACTTTTTTCTTTATTTCGGTTGATTTTCTGGAACAAAATATGCTTGCCTTAATACAGGCTATTTGTTATGATTTTTGTGTTTCAGTGAACAGTATCGAAATGCATATGTTATATATGTATTATAAAAAAAAAAATGTGCATAGTTGTATATGTAATTGTTGGTAACGTGAAAGCACTAAGCAATAAAAAAAAAAAAAAAAAAAGCACTAATGGTTGAAAAATATGTGAACATTTTACATTAGTTAAATGCGTAGTGGTTAGCATCTCACCTGAGTCTTAATGGATGGAATGGAGGTTTAAACAAGGTGAACTACACCAGAGAAACGTATACTGAACTTAAAATTCAAGTTTTCAGGAAATTTTCCAGTATAAAATATGATACAGACTTTTTAAAATTGCATTTGTAGGCAGACGAGCATACGGCCTACCTGATGGTAAGTGGTTACCGTCGCTCATGGACGTCAGCAATGCCAGGGGCAGAGCCAAGCCGCTGCCTACAACTGTCTATTACTGTTCGACGTTTATAGTTTTCGTGAGCATGGACAATTAATCATAAAGCCTCCTCCTCCTTCCTTGCGTCTTATTCTTCACTGCTGAGGGTAGTGACCACCCCTTTGCACGTTGCTTCGCACGCACGATCTTTCTCCATCTATTCTTGCCTCTGGCGGTGTGGAGGGCGTTGTGAAATGTGGAATCAAGAGCGGTGCGGATCTGGTCGGACCAACGTATTGGGCTGCGCCCCCGAAGACTTTTCCATCTACCGTACCAGTCATGATGAGCCTCTCGAGATTGCTACCATCCTTATGTAGTCGTTCCAAGAAATTATATATTAATATGTTTTTTTTTCAGGGTAAAGGTCTAAGAGCCATCAATATCGCCAGTACAGCCAACGATGTTTTCAATTTCTTGAAACCGAAGAAAAGAAAGCATTAAGAAAAGAAATTGAGTGAATGGTATTAGATATATTACTAAAGGATCGATCACAATGATATATAGATAGGTCATAAGATGTCAACGTGAATTTATGGATTTTTGTTTTACCCTGTGTAGTACTTACCTATAGTCAGTACATATATTGATTGCAACGACAACTGTGTACTATTTTTTATATTTGGTTCAAAAAGTTGCATTATTAACGATTTTAGAAAATAAAACTACTTTACTTTTATACGATGTGTTTGTTTTGAATTGAAATCTTAAATATGAAAGAATAATTTCGTAAATTTACATTTTTATGGATTCCTTGTCATTCGATTTTCTTGTTTACCTGTGAACTTTTATTGTAAGCTTTGTGCTCAGTAGTAGTGACATACCTTATATTTTATGCTTTGTACCTACCCGTTTTACGAAAATTACATTGAGTTGTATGAAATTTGACACAATTAAATTTATATAGAGAAATATAAAAAGGATATATGTTTTTAATAATTCTTCAAAATATATTAAATGGTAAAAAAAAAAACACTATCGTACATTTTTGACAGACATAAATATGTGAATCTATATCTATATCTATATTGACGTCGTCGTGGCCTAAAGGATAAGACGTCCGGTGCATTCGTATCTAGCGATGTACCGGTGTTCGAATCCCGCAGGCGGGTACCAATTTTTCTAATGAAATAAGTACCTAACACATGTTCACGTTTGACTTCCACGGTGAAGGAATAACATCGTGTAATAAAAAATCAAATTCGCAAAATTTGCGTAATTACTGGTGGTAGGACCTGATGTGAGTACGCACGGGTAGGTACCACCACCCCGCCTATTACTGCAATGAAGCAGTAATGCGTTTCGGCTTGAAGGGTGGGGCAGCCGTTGTAACTATACTGAGACCTTAGAACTTATATGTCAATGTGGGTGGCGCACTTACCTTGTAAATGTCTATGGGCTCCAGTAATCACTTAACACCAGGTGGGCTGTGAGCTCGTCCAACCATCTAAGTAATAAAAATAAAAAATGTTACAGGGTGTGGTCAAACTGAGAAAAATTAATATGATTAGTTTACAAAATTTCTTGTTCACGCTCTTAGTGGATAATGGAAAAATTTGATAATGATCTAATCATAGTTATTCTAAGACATATTTGTGCTTTTTATATTAGTTGCTAGTGAACTCAAACTAAAAATTTAAATGAAACATGAATAATATTATAATGAATGGTCAAATTTTAACCACCAGGCGTTCATTACTGTCTTAATGTGCCTTTCAATAACTTTGAAGAAAAAAATCAATCCTCAGTTTCATCCAAAGAGTAATATGTAATTTTTTGACATCCACATGAATCTTGTTTAATGTCTTCAGTTCAACTGAAAATTACTTTTCACAGGTTAGTAAATACTATTTATACAAAACTAATAAAACCACTTTGCCTTTATTCAAATTTATTTAAAACAGTTTTTCCAGCCAAATACTTATTAAAATCTTAGTTATTAGGAAACCAAACAAAGGATTGATACAATTCTAGATATTTAAAATTTCAAGAGAATGGACTGAATAGGATCTTTTTGCAGGCTACGTTGTTGATTCCGATGTTCTGTGAGCGTTGCGCATTTTTCTGTTAACTCTTTTATTTTCTCTGCTAGTTCAGTTTTTCCTCTGTGACAAAAAAAAGGATTCTTAGAGAGAGCATTTTATAAAATAAAAATGCATGTTTGTATATATATCTGAACAAAAATTCTTGATTTGGTTCGGTAAATTTCCATGAAGAACAGCAGTGTATAATTCGTATTCAAAGATTAAAGAATGTGTGATTATTCTAATGCAATTCCGACCTCGATGTAACGTCATAAAGTTGGTTTCGGTAACAATTTAACATCTGAATACGCGTGTTTCTGTACAGAAATATTAGTATTATTATTTGACATGTGTTATTTGTAAAGTAGGATATGATGTACTGGAATTCATCTTCGATATCGAGATACTGAAGGTTGATTCGATCTTTATATATCTTTATCTTCTGGTCGATATTTACAACTCGAACATTTCTTCTCGACTCGGCCACTTACTTACGGACTATAAAATTTTTTCATCAAGCTTTCCTCGTTAATCTTACCGGTTTACTCGAACCTAAAAACTTTTCCTTTGTCTTTTATAGAAAACCGTGCTTTCTTTTACTATTTGCACCAACCTATTTGATGCTACATTTTTCCATACGTTTGTTTGATTACTAGTTGCAGTGTATTATATTCGTAAGTAGTAGGTACTGGACGGTTCCTGTCCGTTTATGACGCAGAATGATGAACAGAGGTTGAACCGTGACGAACTCGCCTGACCTATTAACTAATAATAAAGCTTGCCTCGAGGCAAATAATGATTTTTTATTTTATTTTTTATTGCTACGATGGATAGACGAGCTCACGGTCCTGGTGTTAAATGGTCACCGGAGCACATCCACGTTAACTCAGCCACTCACCTTCTGGTTGTAGTGTTGACCGCGGGAACCCCTCTACTCTGACCGGGTTTTGACCTCGGACGGGGATCGGACGTCGGGTGTAAGAGTGCAGGGGAGTCGTTTAGTGGGTGGGCCTTAAAATTCCTTGGGCCCGCGGTCTGCTCCCAACACCTTGCAGATCGTTGAGTCCCACATACCCCGCGCGCCCCCTAGGCGCGGGGACCTCGTAGGAGGTTCAGCCCCCGTACCCAAAAAAAAAAAGCCACTCACCTTGAGACATGAATTCTCACAATTTGCACAGAACAACGGCAGCTCCACAGCTCAAACAGAAACGCATTACCGCTTCACGACAGAAATAGGCAGGGCGGTGGTGGTACCTACCCGTTCGGGATCACAAGACGCCTGCCACCAGTATTTACGCAAATTATTAATTTTGCGGGTTTTATTTTATGCACGATGTTATTCCTGCACCGTTGAGGTCAGTCGTAAATATTTGTTAAATAAAAAACATATTAGAATAGTTGATACGTGTCCGCGGGATCCAAACACCGACACAGTTGTATCGCTCGATACAAATGCACCAGACACCTTATCTTTTAGGTCACGACGACTTTAAATTACATATACTTTCTTTTATATAACATACACAATATTTAGAATATCATCAGGAATTTCAGGAACTATGGCCTGAAGCTGTCTCTTAAGTTCTTCAACCGTACTCTTCAATTCGTCGTGTTGCAGCTGAAGATCGTTCAATGAACTGATGACATTATTGTATTCAGAAGTTACTTCGTCTTCATTCTGTATTTTGTAATGTATACATGTTATGAAAATATAAGTAATCTAAGTATAAATTAAAAACGTGTATCTATATCAGCACAAGATGAAAGGAAATTTAGAAGTCAAATCAAACCCACAAAATTATAATTTGCGTAATTACTGGCGATAGGACCTCTTGTGAGTGTGCACGGGTAGGCACGGGTACCACCACCCTGCCAATTTCTGCCGTGATATAGTAATGCGTTTCGGTTTGAAGGGTGGGGCAGCCGTTGTAACTATACTTGAGACCTTAGAACTTATATCTCAAGGTGGGTGGCGGCATTTACGTTTTAGATGTCCATGGGCTCCGGTAACCACTTAACACCAGGTGGGCCGTGAATTCGCCCACCCAGCTAAGCAAAAAAAAGTGTATTTATTGTCTAAGAAAAATTAAGCCATTTATCTAATTGCTTATTATGAAGTATCATGCAGGAATCAGCTTCATTAAGTGTGCAATCATTATTAAAGTGATTTTATAGTGTGCAAATATTTACATAATATCCCCGAGTATTTCTGAAGCGATCCGCTTTTTCACGCAACGAATCTTCATATTGACGGCTGCAATAAAATATAACTGTGATGATAAATCTAGACAATAATACGCGCAACCAAGAACTTACGACCACGAAATTGACTATAACATGACAATCGTTACGTTCTTATGATCTTTTTGGAAACAGATAACGTCTGGAAACGCAATGCAATTGGTTTCTGATATTATGAGAAGTAAAAGATTTTTTTATTCACTCTATTAACGAAACAGAAAATTATTTTATTCCTCTTTTCGTTCGTCGCAAAGTTAATATGGCCTGACTTCATAAAAAAGTATTTATGATGATTTAATGTCGTTAACGGAGCTTGAAAACATCATTCCGCCAACCGTCTCCTTACATAAGATTGAAGGTCCTGTCATATTAGTGTCAATATTGTGTAGCCTTCAAATCGCATTAGAAATAGGCAGGCCCTTATTCAATATTTCAATTCAATATTTCTTTCACTACTACCTAACATAGTATCTAGGGGAATATATTTCCTTCATGGCCCCCTAGATTTCTGTTAGGGGAAGCTGACACTAGAATGGATGACAATAATGGAAGACAGAGAAGTCGTAGTAGTTTACTCAGCAGAGGAATTAAACTCAATATATTTAACAAACTGAACTATCACATAAAATGAATAAGATTAATAATCACAATTGTATTACTAGTTTAAAAGTAATTGCTGCTTCATTCGTAAATATAGTTTAAAGGATATTTAATTTTATTCCTACAAATTAAAATCAAGTAATTCATTGCGTAACTAGACAGTATTCCATTTTCTTAAAAAACCCAATAAAAAAAATTGTTGCATTTTAAATATTCACTCACATGAGTTTCTCAGTTTCATTTTCTTCGTCCATTATCAATTCTTTTAAATGATTTCGATTTGTTTGCGCGGTTTCAAGGGACTTACTTATATCTTCACACTGTCGTTTGAGTTGCATCCGCTTAGCAGTTAATCTCACTGTACATATTGAACGTATAACTTTAATCCAGTTTGTTTGAACTAAATGACTCGAAACGCGCTCGACACCACATCTGACCTTACCGAAGTTGAACTTCGAACCATTAGCTTCTCAGAGTACTTTTTTTTTATATATATAGCTTAGACAGCTTTCGATCCATCTAGCATTTAGTGGTTACATGAATCCACAAACAAACGGCTGTATTATTCAAATAAGCTTTTGACGAAAAATTAGTAGATGGAAATATAATATTTAATATCCTAAGTAATAATTTTGTAGGTCCCGCTGATTATTGAACTGATTACCTTCTTATTGAATGAATACACAGTAGTTTTGAAGCGACTTATTACGTAATGATTAAATTAATTATTATAGTACCTAAAGTAATTAATAAACGTATTTAACTAACGTAATTAATAAAGAGCCTAAAGAGGGTAAGCTAAACTGATTAATTATGCGAGTTTTTTTTTTTTCATCGACAAAAAACCTTTTTCTGATGGCAGATTATATTATCGTGTGGTCCACCTCGTTTAGAAACGAGCATTTTATGATACAAAGAATATCTTTCGTTTAAAGGTAATCATGTTTAACGAACTGTAGGACGACGTTATATAATCTTGCGCTATCAACGATAAACAGTGTCTCGTAAATGCCTGCGGGTACCTTGTTTCACGTTAAATTGAACTTGGATGTCCATAAATACCTTATATTTTATATTATACTAGCTGACCCGGCAGACTTCGTAGTGCCTCAATCGATAAATAAAAGACAAAAGGAATGCGTCCGATGGGGGATACATCAAAGGAAAAACAAAATTGTTTGTTTTTATTTAATTACGAACATTTTCATATTTATTCACCTTTTAAACCTTCTCTGGACTTCCACGAATAATTCAAGACCAAAATTAGCAAAATCGGTTCAGCCGTTCTCTAGTTTTAGCGAGACTAACGAACAGCAATCCATTTTTATATATAGAGATATTGTTTTTTACGTTTATAAATAATGCTTGGGGACTACGTCATTTGAAATAGTAAATATCATGCATGGATATTGCCAAGGGGTCAAGAGATGCAGCTCAATAATGCATAACATTAAGGCCACGTGAGTGAAGATATTATTGAGAGAAGCAATTTCGTAGTGATAGAGAAATAAGAGGTAGTGTCCCAATTGTGCTTCAATAACTGTATTTATTTTACTTTCGAAGGTAGACACGAACAAGGGTTTTAATGCGATGTTTTTTCTTACTAGCAATCTAGGACTGCCTTTTACAAATTAAATAATTAAAACCACTTTTATGATTTAGGCCCGCTTTGATTATTTTCGGAGTTTCTAATAATTTTACATATTTCGTGGTCACAAATGACTGACAGACCGTTAGAGAGGTCAGAAATTGCCTTAAGAATGAAACCTTAAGAATATAGTAGACACAGTACAATACACAACAACAAGAACACAATTAGTACAATACAGTAGATTGGTAGAATAGACACTAGAGTTAGAATAGGGACAAATCTGGGATATCGCAATAATTTTGTTGAGTTGTTAGATTTATCTTAATTGAACTGAAAACTAAATAGTTTAATTTAGTCATCAACGCTTTGTAACTCATTAAAGATATGAAAAAGTTAATAATCTAAAGTTAGGTACCTACCTAACAACTAAATAGTGCCAGCTCTATCGAAAAACTATTGTCCCCATACGTAACCTGATTCACCCGAAAGCCAAGGTGAATCGGGTCAAGCTACTTTTTTCAGTTTTTGTGTATATTTTGTAACAAACTATGTATAATAACGCATCGTACATAAAAATTGAAGCCTCCGGAACCATTTTAATCCAAATTTGATTGGTATTACCCTAAGAAAAACCATTGACAATTTGTGTTGGATTTGGAAAGGGTCCCGATTCCTCCCAATCTACAATAATGAATACACCGTTAGCAAACTGCTAACAGTAGCACGTTATGAAAAACATATAAAGTTTTATGTTACGCTGAATTAGTAGCAATGTTTCTGTTCAACGATAGGCGAGATGTTTTTTCTAAGTAGGTAAGCACGTCCTTCTTCAAATAAGGTTTGAAAAGGGTCTCTTCAGCGTCTGTTGTGTATTCGTTTACTTTCAAAGGTAATAAAAACACTTGTCCAATACTGCAGACACACAAGCGTTCATTGGAACTTGACGTCACATGCTGGAGCACGCATACATTATACGCAGAAGGTATGATAAAAAAGTTGAAACTTTTCAAACCTCTAATTATTTTGACTAAATTGAAATGATTTAACTTTATATAAAAATGTACTTGTAATAGATATTGTTTTTAATTCATATATAACGTACCGTTTTCCAACTTCAATCGTTCTGTCTCATTGTTCAGTGAGCGTGCAACTTTCAGCACTGTCATTGTTTCGCGGTACTTTTGTTCGTTTTCGGCATCTAACGCGGGCAATGCTGATCTCTATAAAAAAGATAATGAATAAATAAGCGATTTAGCTCGAAATATTGCGTGGCTGATATGGAAGTGGGCACACGTAGAGCAGATGGCCCCTGAGGCCAGAAGGTTTTTTTTTTATTTGCCCTTGTAGGCGAACGAGCATACGGTCCACCTTATGGTGAGAGGTTACCGTCGCCCATGAACTTCAGCAATGCTAGGGGCAGAGCCAAGCCGCTGCCTACCGCTTAATACTCTCCACAAGCCTCGTTTGAAGAAGGACATGTTATAGTGCTCGGGAAACACCGTAGAGGGGAGCTCATTCCATAGCCGGATGGTACGTGGCAAAAAAGATCTCTGGAAACGCACAGTCGATGAACGCAGCGGGTCCAGATAATATGGATGAACTCTGCTCCGATGGCGGGAGGTGCGATAATAAAAGGGAGATGAGGGGATCATCTCAAACAATTAAACAACAAACAAACAGAAGGTTCTCGAGCGACGATCGCGCCTCAGAGGAGGCCGCGCGGGACGGCCTCTTACAACCTGTATAAGTTGGATTCTGGCAGCGCAGGCTGATCATTATGGCGTCCTTGGGAGAGGCTTATCTTTTTTAAGACCAGTTTGAGGAGTTTAAGGCCAACTTCGTTGTATCTTGCAAACTTTGATGTCGGTACAATTTCAAACTTGTGCAGATTTCTCCTCATTCGCTTAAAGACAATTGACCAGAATTCTAGAAAATTTATATATTTTCTTATTTTTAAGGTAATTTTGATGTTAATGTTGAGTTTTTGTTTTTTTATTATTATTGCTTTTGTTTTATTCTGAGATTCTACTTATTATTATTATTTTTATTTTTATTTAATTCTGGTAAACTATATGAAATGTTAATGAATGTAATATGGATGCAAAATCTGAAGTAAATGAAATAAGTAAATAAGTCAATTGGTAATACAATCCTAAATTAATTTAGTAATTGTATGAACATTTTGAACATGGTACTTTAGTTGATTTTTATGATGGTTCCAATAACAAATTTAATAAATAATTATTTTTTGTGTGGACGTGATAATTTTTTTTTTTTCGAAATCTAAGCAATTCACGAGGCCCTTTAGAATTTTTCTGTATAATATGACTAATGTAACATCTTATAAATGATCCATAGTCGTAATCCTATTACACGAACATTTAGAATATTGGTAAACAATTGGCCCAACAATTTCTGGACGCATATAACTACGTAAAGACCCATTTATACATATATTCATCTATGTTCAGGGAACGTGAACATTTCGACGGCTTTATATACATATGTTAAATGCCGTCGTCGCAAAGTCGAAAAATAAAAATAAGCAAATAAAAAAAGAAAAAAAATATAGGATAAGTTCGTTTTTTTTGAAAATTTTGTTGAAAAGTGAAACTTCTAAAAAAAATCTTAAGTCCAATCGGTTTTCGTTTGCGTCAGATTTCAACGAGTCAGCTCAAAAATCATAAATACGCAAATAAACACCAGAATCGAATACTGAAATAATTAAAAAAAAAACCGATGCCGTGTGGTAGAACGGACGAGTACTCGTGGCGGGTATCGAATACATCTGAATAATATGTTTATTTGTATTCGTATTCGTACCCATTCATCTGTACTACATTTCGTAGCGAGCAAATTAATTTCGCGAGACTTAATCGGGATAGAAGTAACCCTTGCTAATCAAAATACCACTGTAGTACGGTCCACACCTCGTTTTATCAGGTTCAATGGTTTCGTTGTTACGAAAAAAATCTTTTTTTTTCTGTCATCATTCATTTTTAATATTTACTTAAAATCACTGACTACATACCGTAACTGAGTTAATATGATACGTACTGTTACGTAAATTATACATATATAGAAGTATAGTAAGAACATGCGTAGCTTAAACCAGTAATCCCATATTTAAAATTTGGATGAATTACATTTGGGTACCCGAACATTTGTTACATTTGGGGACAGGTTTTTGAAGTTCCATCCCTAAATTAATGGACAGGGTATAATTACTTGAAGAGACCTTTTTAGGTAACGGTGATTCCACTTTTTGATAGTAATTACTTTTCAAACAAGTAAAACTACACATCCAAATCTGTGTTTTTTTATTAAGATAGATGAACATATTATGTGCGTTTTTAAATTAGTTTTCCAGTGAACCGTTTTTTTAACGTTGGGGAAGAGGGAGAAGAGGAATACCGAGGTCCTTCTCCTCCTCCAATTTCTCCCAGGAGATTACACCTTATAAGAGGCGCGCGAGGTACCTGCCCGACAGAACCGACAACTGATTAAGCCCCATCGAGCTCCACCACACCAGCAGACGAAACCTATGGTACTGCATAGTGCACGCTGAAAGTTTGCCTTTGCCGGTACCTGGTGGTAGAACAGGATTTCATTCCCGGGAAAATCCCGAAGGACGTCATCTCACACACCATGGCGGCGCACAGGGTTTAAGACATTAAGATAAGATAGATAGACGTACATACATATGTGCGTTTTTAAATTAGTTTTTCAGATAAGTGAACCTGCAGTTACGGCTACCTTGATGGGTCCTAAAAGACAGGCCAAGGAATGGGCGACTAAGACAGTAGCGTCAACTAACAACGGGGTCAATAATAACAGGGTCAATTGTGGTTGGTAACAAGTGTGGTTAAAGGCCAACCGTGGCCACTCATGTACGGTGGACACATTACGTAAATATTTATATTCAGACTTCCAGAGAGTAAATACGTAAATGGAGAGCTCAGACACGAGGTGTCTGGTTTTGAAAAAAATTGCAAATCGGTATCCATATGTCACGATTCTTAGTCATNACGGGGTCAATAATAACAGGGTCAATTGTGGTTGGTAACAAGTGTGGTTAAAGGCCAACCGTGGCCACTCATGTACGGTGGACACATTACGTAAATATTTATATTCAGACTTCCAGAGAGTAAATACGTAAATGGAGAGCTCAGACACGAGGTGTCTGGTTTTGAAAAAAATTGCAAATCGGTATCCATATGTCACGATTCTTAGTCATGTATTTATTTACTGGTCGTAGGACCTCTTGCGAGTCCGCACGGTTAGGTACCACAACCCTGCCTATTTCTGCTGTGAAGCAGTAATGCGTTTCGGTTTGAAGGGTGAGGCAGCCGTTATAACTATACTGAGACCTTAGAACTTATATCTCAAGGTGGGGGCGGCATTTACATTGTAGATGTCTATGGGCTCCAGTAACCACTTAAAACCAGACGCGCTGCGAGCTCGTCCACACACCTAAGCAATAAATAAATGTATTTAAACAATAATCGAACAAAAGATGAAATGTTGTTCTGTTTTTGTCTGAGTTATCTATGCACTCAATTTTCGTGTTTATAAAACTTTCCTTCGTATTTTTCTCTTTACCTTTCTATTTCCTTGGCGTGTTAATTTTAATTTGTGTAAAAAGAAAAAAATAGTGGCCCTTGGATAACACAACTTGAGAATTTGAGCACTGATTCGACTGTTCTTTCAATGTTTGTAATAGTCCGAAAAATGCTTCAGGGAAAGAAAATATCACTAGAAAATATTCAAAACCAAATATAAATCAATTTATTGAAATTTTGACAGAACTAAAACGAGGCCACGCTTAGCGCAATTATAAAATTTAACTTTATTAAAATCTTTCTGTGATTATGTAACTAACCTGTACAACTAGTTCATTTTCAATATCTTCTAAATTGAATTTTAATAAACATATCCCAATTTGTTGCTCTTGTGGCGATAACATTATCACTGTTTAATATTATATTATAAAGATAAAGGTTTTGAAAAAAAAAAACAGTAAGTTTGAAATTGGACAAAAGTAAAAAAGCGAAAATTAGTCGGCGGCAAAATGTGTGCATACTTCATCCTGATTTAAAATTAGAACGGCTAAGGTTGCTTTGACTATTCAGCCACGTTGTATTTGGAATTTCCTTTGTAGTTTCAGCTTCATTCCGGCCCGAGAATATCTTTTCCGTCAGCTTTTGTTTTATTTGATTTTATTATTAAAGTACCTAAAATAAAAATACGCTGGTACTCAAATTGCAAAAAATGGTCTCTTATTATCTGCAGGACAAGGACGTTTATATAGTTTCAGAATAAATTGTATATTGGCGCCATATAGATGAACTCTGTAAAGTTTTTATTTATTATTAGTGTATAGATGAATGAGCGAGCTCATGGCCTATCTGGTGTTAAGTGGTAACCGGGCCCCACGAGGTGCATGACCCAAACACCTCGAGACACGAACTAAAATCACAATCATATTGATTAATAGCTGTCTAAACCGGTAGGCACGACTTGTTCGCGGCAGAAACTGGCAGTATGTACCGAATAATATTTATCCGAAAAAAATTCGGGGCTTCTTATTACAATATGCAATTTTTTATTTTTTTATTTAAGGTCGCTTTTTAACATCTAGGGTCATTAACGACCACAGCTTAAAGTATAATTTTAAGTTACATTGGCATCAACATCATACTAAATTATACAAATCAATGATCTTTAAAAAAATAAGGGTCTGCTTATACCCATCTTGAGTCAGACAGTCCGTTAAATTAAAAATGTTATTTGTTTTCATGGAAGAATAAGTATTATGTTCGTATGAATTTATCTCAATTGAATTTGTTTCAATTCAAGGTGAGCACAGAAAACAACCCCGTCAAATTGTATGCTTAGCTTTAACATATTAATTTGTGTCAAATGCTTATTTTAAATGCGAATACGATTAATCACTTTTAAAGTTCAAAACAGAAATCTACAATGGGTCAACAGGGCTGGTTTTAATTAGCAAAAGGCATTTCAGATGGGCAACGTATCCGAACAACTGACGGCTGTTGCCGGTTGCATGTTAATTTAATACAGATAGACTTGAGTAATAACAACGAATAAAACAGATTTTCTATTCTATGCTCTGTTTAAATGAGGTTAAAGTTTAATATCTAACGAAGTCAAAAATGTAATCGAATGAACGGGACTTCCTGGCCCAAAGCGATTTGGTCTTTATTTTATTACCATTTTGGGATTAACTATTTTTGGCGAGAGTGTTGACAATTCCATGTACAATGCTTTGTACGATAAATATATAAAATATAAAGCCTTAGTTTGTCGTTCAATTTAATAATTTACGTTCTTTTGGTTAGAGAATGTGCGGTCACTAAGTTCTTCAAGTAAGATTCTTCAAGCAACGATCACCGTTCTCGTCAAAGTCGTCGAAAATTTCTACGCATAACCTAGCCCATAGACAATGTGCTCTGACTTTTTCGCGGCATTTTCTCAGTGGGTCACGATTCCGATCCGGTGCTAGAGTCAGCGAAGCACTGCTCTTGCTAGGGTTAGCAAATTCTCTCAGCTTGCGCTCGTGAGCTCACCTATTCGTTTGAGCGTAGTTGGAATATCCCTTTAAGCTGTCAGCGATTAGGTAGGGAAGTAAATGAAAATAAGTATTATTACAAGGACGTCCTCGAAGCATTGAAGACGTACTTTACATACCCGATAAATTTACTTACAAATAACAATAAACAAAATAAAGTAGTTAAGTTTACGTTTTGCTTCATTTTAGTAATAACTTTAATTCAAGATGAGTAAACTTAATTGAAATAAAAAAACTAAAAAAAAGTACTTAAAATTTCAAGTTTCTTTAAATGCATGTCCCTAACATCAAATACTACGTGAGAGCACTAGTATTCAAGGTCAACTCATATAACATTAAAAAAAAAATGTGTGCGTGTACTAGTGTACACACGTAAGAAGTGAAACTTGTTTATGGCCTTATTTTTCGAAAAATGATCTACATGCAACTTTCTAGAAATTGGTTAAATAAAGTTAAATTAGATAAAGTTTAAACAAAAGGATTTTATTATCATAGACATGAATACAAATAATACAATTATTTCACTTTACCTTTTTGCTACTAAGATTATTACAGCATTTTAATAATACATCTCTTTGATATCATAATACCCTGGTACTTTTCTTCCTATAAATTAATAATAATAGCACGGTCCACGTGGTGTTAAATGGGGTTCCTGAGGTTCGTGAAGTTTGACCCACCTTGAGACATGAGGTCGATTTCTCAAATCCGAAACCATGCTTCAGAACATACCGCCGTTAATTATTAATAAATCTCTTTGCTATCATAATACCCTGGTACTTTTCTTCCTATTATTTTACGTAATAACAGTAATAAATAGCACGGTCCACGTGATATTATTAAGTGGGCTCCCTGAGATTATTGGAATTACAAAATGATTTCCGTAATCCACCTGGAGACATGAGGTCAATTTCTCAAATCGGAATCCATACTTCAGAACATACAGCCGTTAATTAATAAAGAAGGCTGTACGTCAGAGTAAAGTTATAATAATACATCTCTTTGATATCATAATACCCTGGTACTTTTCTTCCTATTATTTTACGTAATAACAATAATAGCACGGTCCACGTGATATTAAGTGGGTTACCTGGGATTATTGCAATTACAAAATGTATTCCGTGACCCACCTTGAGACATGAGGTCGGTTTCTCAAATGCGCATCCATACTTCAGAACATACAGCCGTTAATTAAAAGATGGCGCGTAACGGAAAAATGTGACGCGTAACCGAAAAATGTGACGGTAAATTTTTTTCCAACGCCGATAAGGAAGTTTCACTTCAAAAAAACTTTTAATCTTATCACTTATAGTATACTCAAGTATCATATTTAGGCATTTATTAGAACAAAATCAAATTAAACTTCTTATTACATACATCTTCCAATATATTACCTATAAGTATTCTTCAAAACGACCTTAAATATTCATTACGAGTTCGAGGCTTAACTGAGAACACTTCTGAGATCCGTTAAGCCTTCCAATATTATTTAAGATCGACGTTCACTAATCCACGATATATTATTGGTTTGGTGCTACCTTAATTGAAAACTTAACCTTCAAGAGTAAGATCAATAATTAAATTCAATATTGTAGAATTCAGTTTGTATGTACATATTTTATTGAAAACCCAGGAAAAAGTATGTACATCTCAGCTGAAAAGAAAGCACTATGCAATTTTTTTATTTAAAGCAATCTCTTCCAGTTAGCTGCTGAGCTAAAATAATAAGTAAATAAAAGAGCTATAGAAAGAAATATAGTATATAAATGTCTGTCAGAGTATTTATTTTTTATCTTGTATGCCTGTACCTTACGTTAATATGTAACAAAATATTTGGAAGTCATTTTGAAGTACTTTAAGATGTCCGATTACTTTGAAAATTCGGATGCACATCAAGAACCGATGATCATTCAATTACATCGCTCTAATATCTTGATTAGTATTATTAGGATGAAAAAAATACAATTAATTCTTAGAACGGTTTTCTCTTTAAGCAGGTTATTTTTAATATTACTCATACTACATTATATACATCGTGATGTACTAATAATCCTTTCTTAGTATTTTGAATTTTTCCCAAAAAAATCAAGATCGTGCTCCTATCTTCTTTTACATGAGATCAAAGGACCCTACAATAATCTACTCCGCTATTCATCAGTGGAACGGATGCGCGACCACTCTAGCTACTGCTAAAAATCATCTAGTTATCCCTATTAACAATACCCACTCCTCAATTACATACCTTAAAAACATTCTGCCTTCGATTCTCATTTCCCCATTTTTTACTGACGATAGGGCATATTCCACTTTGATTCTCCGCGATTTGTATTTTGGAATGCGGTATAGAATTTGGTGTGGTTTCAGGCTGTATTTAATTAGAAATATGATCTATGAGTTTCAAGATAGTTGAAATAGTATTACATTTAGTTTATTTAGTATTCTATCGCGATATCTTATAACGTCGCTCTTTATTTTAAAACATATCTACAAGATTAAGACAAAAGAAAATATGCGTTTCGCGTATTTCTTCTGTCCTACCTTGAATTAGGCACGAGGTAAATGCGTGTTCCTTTCTGGAAGGCACGGCAACCGGTAACCCTAATGAAATTAAGGCTGCGTCACCTTAGATTCTATAGATTTTAGTTACTGCAGACCAATATTTTGCTCGTCCAAGCCCAACCAAATAAAATAAAAATTAAAAACTACTTTTACGGTTTCACTACGCGTTTTTTATTGTCATTATATTATTTACGACGTTTCATTTACTTTATGTGATCTGTAAGTGATCAAGCACGGTGATATAAGAAAAATATATAATAAATACTATATAATAAAAGAAAAACGCGAGATTAAGCCGTAAAAGTAATTTTAATTATGTCTACGACTCGCGATAAGTGAAGAAAATACCAAATAAAACAGCTAAATTGAAGTTCATAAAATTTCGTTCCATAATCTTGATAACATTCTCTTCCAAACTATATTAAATGCAAGCTTGTACGTGTCAACATTCGATCATTTTTCCTTAGGCAGTATCACGACTGAACATTTCTATTCTAACCGAGTGTAATTATCGGATATCAATTTTTTTATTGTCCTTGTAGGCAGACGAGCATACGGCCCGCCTGATGGTTAGTGGTTACCATCGCTCATGGACGTCAGCAATGCCAGGGGCAGAGACATGCCGCTGCCTACCGTTAAGTACTCTCCACAGGCCTCGTTTTACGAAGAACAAGTTATTATAGCACTCGGGAAACAAAATATGCGTGTATGTATGTTACTGTGTCGCAAAAGCTCGAAATTAATCTATACTTAATACTTCGATCAACAATAGTACTTAATATTATAAAGCTGAAGAGTTTGTTTGAACGCGCTAATCTCAGGAACTACTGGTCCGATTTGAAAAATTATTTCAGTGTTATA